TTACACCCTCTCTCCAGCACCAGGGGTAGGGACAGTCGGTCCTGTCCCCCAGCCACAGAGCAGTGTATCCAGAGGGGAGACAGTCGGTCTCCCCCTCCCACAACCAGGCTCCAACCAGGCTACTTCAGTGGTAGCGCTGGCACCCGGGCAGAGTACCGCTGGTCTCTGCCCACTCAGCAACCCACCAAGGCAGTCTACAAGCCCCCGCACAGCCGTGGTGAGGCACCTGGACATGGACAAGTTGCTATTTTATCCAGGTGTAGTAACCAGTTATTGTGGGTGGGCTGTATTGCTGTTTGTGCTTCGTGGGTGGGTTGCTGGACTAACCAGGGCACTGACCAGCAGGAGGTCAGATACCCTGTTAGTCTGGATGGTAAAGGGGAGAAATGTGGCGAAACTGACCTCGCCACGTGTCCTTGGAGGGGGCTGCTTGCCCGCCTCTTGCCTTTGGACTATGGACCAGACTTTATGTGAATGTGTTAACCCAGATAGCTATGCCATGGAGCCCATTCGTGTAGTTAAAGACTTCGGCTCCATGGCAATTGAACTGTGTGAATAGGATCTGAGCGCTATTCGGTAGTTTTGTGCGCTCAGATCCCAGCTATCTGGGGATATGTGAAATGTCTGTGTGTTATGTGTAAAAGGTGACTTTATGTATTTTAAAGTGTTTTATGTCTTTTTGCAACCATGTGCTCAATGGAGTCTGCCTCTATCCCTGGATAATTGGATTACTTTCCCCCATTGTCTCCAGGATAGAGGGCTCTGTAAAACCTGTTTGAGCCAGATAGCCATGTGCCAGCCAGGGCCCAAAAGATACTTTTACTAACTTTTGAACCCCTGGTCGGATTCATGCCATTTTTTAATATGTTGTTCCCCTGAATGGATTGATTGTGAATATGTAATTTTATGTGAATGTGATGTATGGTTTTAAAGTTATGAAAGTTGGGTAGAAAGTATGTTTTAACTGTATGTGTAATTGAGTTTCCTCTCAGGAAAAGGGGAGGGAATATGTGGGATGTAACTGATATGTGATTGGTTGTTTTATACCTCCCTGTGGGCGGTCCTGTATGTGAAAGGCTGTAATAAAAACCAGGCTGGGTGTGCCAGCACAAGAGTTCCTGTTTTAACCCTCAAAGTGAAGTGTCTTTTTATTATTGGGGGAAGGATTCATTGTATGCTGTTCCAGTTTGACTGCTAGGAGAGTAAACCTATTCGTATGGTTCCTATTCAACTGTCTACAGCATTCGCCGTTTCGGTGATTGTGGTGTCTGCCAGAGTGCTTGGAGTCCTCAGGAAGCGCTAGGAGCCTCCTTCAACGGAGGTACCCAGTCGGGGTGCCAGGCGATCCGTTACAATCACTAATAAATAAGTACAAAAAATCACTAATAAATAAGTACAAAAAAAACAAAAAACTTATCAAATGCACTTAAGTTATTTATACACATCATCTTTGCTTATCTCTATATACTGGTGTTTTGTGGTTCAAGCCAACAACATCCAATATGGTATTAAAAAGACACTAAGCACCTTAAAGGGACACTATAGTCACCAAAACAACTTTAGCTTAATGAAGCAGTTTTGGTGTATAGAACATGCCCCTCCAACCTCACTGCTCAATTCTCTGCCATTTAGGAGTTAAATCACTTTGTTTATGAACCCTAGTCACACCTCCCTGCATGTGACTTGCACAGCCTTCCAAAACACTTCCTGTAAAGAGTCATCTAAAGTTTATCCTTTCTTTATCGCAAGTTCTGTTTAATTTAGATTTTCGGATCCCCTGCTATGTTAACAGCTTGCTAAACCCTGCAAGAGCCTCCTGTATGTGATTAAAGTTCAATTTACAGAGCAAGAGATAAAATTGTTTAAGGTAAATTACATCTGATTGAAAGTGAAACCAGTTTTTTTTTCCATGCAGGCTGTGTCAATCAGAGCCAGGGGAGGTGTGGCAAGGGCTGCATAAACAGAAACAAAGTGATTTAACTCCTAAATGGCAGTGAATTGAGCAGTAAAACCTGAGAGGCATGATCTATACACTAAAACTGCTTCATTAAGTTGTTTAGGTGACTATAGTGTTCCTTTAACAACTACAGCTTAGCAAGAAGTATGTGTGAAGACCCTACAGTGTTTCCTAAAATCAATTTTAAAGGTGTTTGGCTCTCCCGACATTAAGCCTGGACTCTGTACAAATCTGTCCAAATGTGGATTGGATGGCAACCAACCAACCAGCCCAGCAATTGTTGAACTACCAATCCCATAGTTCCCACCACAGAAGGAAAGACTAAAGATGTGCTTTCAAGATTATATTATTATTGGTGTCACTCTACACCACGGCTACGTCATCTCATTATGCAGATGGTTCCGTATCTCATTATTATAGATTTGAATTAGATTCCTGAATAAAAGAACAAAAGCTACTATTCATTTTGAAATTATATAAGATTGGTAAAATGCGTTGGAAACATACTTTCAGATGCTAATCCTGAATCAATGAAAAATTGCAGAGCCAGCTTTAGTTTTTCTCTCGTTTTTTATTGTAACAGACAGTTCTAGATATCTGAAATTGTTGAGATAAAAATACTTTAATTTTGACAATATATTGAACATCAGCACCGACCAATTCTCCCCTATGAGCCCCTTTAATATTCAATTTTCCTTTTTGATTTGATAGCTGCATAGACACTACGGAAATGAAATACTTGGAGCAACATATTTTGTACATCTTTGTATCATTGTTTTTCTGTGTGATTTCTCTGCTCCGATGAGTTTAATTCACAGTAGATCTTCAAATATAACTTCCTTTGTGACACTTGTAGCTGGTAAAATGGCCAGTTGCAGCGAATGGTAATCATATCTCCGTTAGGTACCTAAACATAAGCCCAGGCATTCCATCTCTATCAACAGATATGAAGATACATGACCATCACTGGCTGTGGATAGCATGGAAAACTGCAACTGTGATAACTATATTTACATGTGAAGAACTCTTAAGTGCAACAGCCCCTTGATCTATCATGTACCGCGTGGTACCCGGCCGGACTGACAGCCAGGAGGAAGAGGAGCTCGGCCACGCTACAGGGAAGGGGAGGTGACGAGAGGAGTGCTGCAGCCGCCTAAGGCTCTCTATAGAGCGCTCAGGCGGCTGCAGCCTTATAGTAAGCACCGGCTCTGCTTGGTGCCCAGGGCCAGCTCGGGGCCCCAAGCAATTGCTTGGTTTGCGACGGGCCTGTCTATTAGTGAGGGGACAACATAAACACCTGTTTACCCCCACCTTCATGTAAACATTAAAAAAATAAAGAATGTATTTTCCAGAAGAAAAAAAAAGCCTTCTTGCTTTTTGAAAGGCAGCTTGGGTAATGGTTGGAGACACACTGCCATCTAGTGAGGATTATCTTACTACACATGACCTTGAAAATAAAATAAAAACTAACTCTTATGAACATGAGAGAATCCTTTTTTTTTTTTTAGATACAATTATTATTAAAGATTCAGTAATTCAAGTCAAATCAAAATGTAATTGCTGTCAGTAGAGGTAATGTTTTAATCCATTCAAGGAACTTGTGAATCCTGATGTGAGCTGTCCATCCTCTATGTGTATTAATGGTCTGAATTAATCACCATAATATACTAAAGAATATAAATAACATACATAACAGAAATATTAATTGCCTCAATAAGATATGACCTTCATTAGAGTAGGACTAGGAACCGAAGAAACTCTGGAGGGAATTACCTTTCATAACAGTCACAGCCCACTGTGGGAACATACCCTAAATAATGCAGTTTTCTATAGGCAAAATGATATATTATGACTTCTTTAAAAAAAACACAAAAACCCTGTCAGTCAAAATTTCAATTCTGTGATGTAACAACATTTTTGATGCACAAATAAATCTTTAATTCCCAAGAAGTGAAAAAAAAAATATCAATTATTCAGTACAGATATAGAAATTAAAAATTTATAAGATGTGTATTTTAGGCTTTCCACTGATATTTTTGCCTATTCTTGATTAAATATAATTGTTTTAAAAGCTATATGGAGACGATAACCAGCTCCTTTAAATTATATTTAGTTTTTCTTATCTTTTTTAAATGAGTGGAGGGGTATTCTTAGCCTTCTCATTCCCAGCACTAGATTTTTGGGAGGATTCATCCCTCCACCCCCACCCTACAGTTTGAATGCCCATGGTTTCTACTTTTTGATTTCTCCATAGGCCTTCCATACAGGCCCTTAATAACTATGTACATGAAAGTTAATTTTATATATAGAAAAACAAGTAAATGGCAGAAATCTAAAACTTCACTTTTATTAGTTTAGTTACAAATAGTAAATGATTGCATAAATGTTAAAAAAAAAATGTAATACTAAACAATCTAATGACATTGTACAGCACCGCAGAATTTATTGGTGCTTTATAAATGACAATAAGTCACTCTATCTGTCTAAATAAGTGCTGCTAATTGTAAGTCTGCCACTAGATGGCTCTAACGAGCTCTGAAGTAACCAGCTCTTTAAAATATAAAGCTGGCTAATTAGGCCACTCTGGACGGAAATCTGCGGCCTCTTAGAACAAATTCTCGACAAACCCATCACTGCACATCCATGGACGATGCTACTCAACAAACCACAAGACTCCCTTACTAGGAGCGAAAACAAACTAGCTGCTAGGATAACGCTGGCAATCCGAAGGGCAATTGCGGAGCGATGGGCAGACCACCGACCTCCCACAATCTCAACTATCATCAACAAGATCAGAGAAACCTGCGATCTGGATGAATTAACCGCACAGATATACGACACATATAAAGCGTTCCACTGAACCTGGGACCCCTGGGACATGAACAACCAGAAATTGGTCTCAACCACACAGCCTTAAACGACCCGTCTGAACGCAGCACCTCTCCGAACCATTATCTGGATCAGATCCACAAGGGCAGAAGGGCGCACACAACAGAACCACTCACAGACACCCCCCACACCCAACACCCCTCTCCTCTTTTAGTCCTGCAAAAGTCACCAGTCCAACAACACCCTACCCCACTACCCCCCCACACTGGCCTAAAGATAGGGTATCAGAACAGCAGCCTCACCGCACAAAGAGTATAACTGACACGGCCCCTGACCACACCTCCAAGGACCGAAATCAACACCTGGTGTGACCCACCAAAGACAGAGACAGCACTCACCCCTGGGGAAAACTGGCCCCTGCTCCTAACCCCCGACCACATAGCTGAAACCTGGCAAAAGTAATGAGTGCACATGCAGAGAGAGCATACCCCCCTCTCACACCTCCCAAACCCGTCCATCCCAACAGAGCCTCCATCTCTCAACCCCCCGTTCCCCGGGCTCCACACGCCAACACCTGGTCACAGCACACAGCACCCCGTTCAAGAAACCAACCTATCGCACAGCCCAAACGCAAGTGGCCTCCTCACGCATCAATAAGCCAGCAGCTTACCACTTAAGAAATATCCAGGGCTTAACTGGCTACCAGGCAAGCTACCACCAAAAGACACGGGCTCACACCATTGGAACCAGGGGGTCAATACCAGCACAGAACCACAACAGAGTGAAAACTGAATGACACCCGGAACCCCGTCCCCCCGCTCTCTCATGCAAATCCCCCACCCCAACTTACCAAGAACATACCCGCGACAAGCACGGCAAACGGAACACTGGGCAACTACAGACGATATGGAAAAGTTTGCTTAACTCTCACTAACAGAAAATTTGTACCAACCACTGATACCCCATCCCCCTTCTTCTCTTCTGTACCCCCTCTCCCCCCACAAAAAAAAAAAAGAAACTAACTGTGATGTTATGGAAAATGTTATAAATAAAGAATTTATAAAAATATATATATAAAGCTGGCTGTAGTATATATATCAGTGCACACAAGCTAACCCAAAGTTAGAAACCAAAAGTTTATTAATAGATAAAGATGGAACTATGTAGCCGTTTCCTATAATACCCTAAGTCATTGAAGGCTAAACATTCCGTATGCTGCATGGTGCACTGTGCACATCTGATGAGCTCTGCAATAATAAAGCGAGACCCCTGTCAGGTGCTCGCATCTACTACCTCTGTCACTCTGTTTTTCTTTCTAGCTACCTTTCGGACCATTGACCAGCAATTATTTAAGGCAAGTTTAACCTTCAAACTTTGAGCCACCTTGTGTGCATTGATAGATATACTACAGCTGTTACTTTGGATCTCATTAGAGCCACCTAGTGGCAGACTTACAATCTGCAGGACTCATTTAGAAAGATAGAGAGAAATGTCTCATTAGTGTAACAAGAATATACCCCTACACGCAGGATCCAGCTAAACAGAGGCAAATACAGAGGAGAGATACGCCTACCGGACCTTAGAATGGCCGGACTTGACGTATATGAGAGAAGACAGAGCCAGGAACAAACCGAGGTCAAGGGCACAGAGAGACAGCGTAAACTAGGACAAGCCGGGGTCTGGTACACGGAAAACAGCAAGCCGGCAAACAGTACAGATAAGGATAAAGCGAAAACGAAGTCAGAATACGAAGCCAAAGTCAATACGAGAAAACACAACTGAACACCACAAGCGCTAAAGGGAACTGAAACAGAAACCACGATAGGGCAAGGAACAAAGGGAAGAAGGTAAGTATAAATACCTAAATGATTGGTCCCTGTCAGGTAAGTGTATGGGGAGTGTGGCATGACAGGGACCAATGGGATGCCTTTTCAATTTAGGCACCCACTGTCCCTTTAAGAGCGCGCCCGAGACTCGCGGCGCGCTCTTAGTTTCAGGCGGGACACGTGACCGCCTCACGCGGTCACTGCCCGCCCTCCATCCGAAGCCGCGCGCGGATGCAGCCGCAGGACCGCGCGCGGCTTGAAGAGAGGACCGCGACCGGCCCCCGGTTAAGGTAAGTAACGCTACAGTACCCCCCCCTGAGGACACGCCCCCCGGGCGGGTAGGACCAGGCCTGGCAGGAAAACGTGAATGGAAAGAGCGCACAAGACGGGGAGCATGGACAGCATCGGCCGAAATCCAACTGTGCTCCTCAGGCCCATAACCCTTCCAATGTACCAAGTATTGAAGTCGACCCCTAAGGAAACGAGAGTCAAGAACAGCAGACACTTCAAACTCCTCATGACCCTCCACCGAGATAGGAGGGGGAGGAGGAGTATGCCGGGTATAGCGGTTGCGTACGAAAGGTTTCAACAATGAGGTGTGAAAAACATTAGGAATACGTAGATTCTTAGGCAGGCCTAAGGCATAAGAAACAGGATTAACCTTATGTATAATACGATAAGGTCCAATGAAGCGGGGAGCCAATTTCATAGAAGGCACCCGGAGACGAATATTCCGCGTGGAAAGCAAAACCCTGTCCCCCACAACATAGGACGGAGCTGCTCTGCGATGCTTGTCAGCCTGAGCCTTCTGGCGAGTAGCAGAGTCCACCAAAGAACGCTGAACCTGCTCCCAAGTATTACGCAAACCAGCCAAATGCTCATCCAGAACTGGCATGCCCTGTGAGGAGAATGCAGCCGGAAGAACAACGGGATGCTGGCCATAGACAACGTAAAAAGGGCTCTTGCCGGAAGAATCATGAGTGGCGTTATTCCGAGCAAATTCAGCCCAATTGTCCTGATGGTGAGACACAAAACAACGGAGGTATTGCTCCAGAGACTGGTTGGCACGTTCAGCAGCCCCATTAGACTGGGGATGATAAGCGGAAGAAAATGAGAGAGAAATACCCATTTCTGAACAAAAGGCCCTCCAGAACCTGGAAATAAATTGGCTACCCCTATCGGATACAATAGATACGGGAATCCCATGTAATCGAAATACTTCTCTAGCGAAGATATGAGCCAGTTCCTTAGATGTGGGCAACTTGCGAAGAGACACGAAGTGAGCCATTTTGGAGAACCGATCCACTATCATCAGGATTACTGTGTTACCATTTGAAGGGGGTAATTCAACTATAAAATCCATGGACAGGTTAGACCAAGGTCTCTCGGGAACGGGTAACGGATGCAACAGCCCACAAGGAACTCTACGGGAGGATTTCATACAGGCACAAGTAGTACAAGCACTTATATAGTCAGTGACATCCTTTCGTAAGGAATCCCACCAAAAATACCGAGAAACAGCTGACACCGTTTTGGAAATACCAGGATGTCCAGCGGTCTTAGTATCATGATATAATGACATAATATCCCGTCTCTCAGGAACATCAACGAACAGTTTATCATTAGGCCTCTCGCTAGGTGCCATGCTTTGTTTCGCTTGTATGGTCTGCAAGAGGGACGAGGAAATAGACAAAATAGTAGTAGCTATTATCCTGTCTGGGGGAATGACAGGAGTAACATCAATCTCCTGTTTGTCAGTAGTTTCGAACTGTCTGGACAGAGCGTCTGCTTTAGTGTTGCGATCACCTGGCCTATAGGTGATAATAAAATTGAAACGAGACAAAAATAGTGACCACCTAGCCTGCCTGGAAGACAATCTTTTGGCTTCGCTAAGATAGGATAGGTTCTTGTGATCCGTAAAAATGAGGATAGGATCCTTAGTTCCCTCTAACAAATGTCTCCACTCTTTAAGTGCTAAAATAATAGCAAGGAGTTCACGATTACCCACATCATAATTTTTCTCTGCTTTGGACATTTGTTTAGAAAAGAAGCCGCATGGATGCAATGGCTTCTCAGGCGACTCTCTTTGGGACAAGACAGCACCTACCCCAATATCCGAAGCATCAACTTCAAGAATATAGGGCAGTGAGGGGACAGGATGCTGTAAAATAGGTGCAGAGGCGAACGTAGTTTTAAGAAATTCAAAAGCCTGAAGTGCCTCGGTAGACCAAACACGAGTATTGCCATCCTTTTTAGTCATACGAGTGATAGGTGCTACAATGGACGAGAAACCTTTGATAAAACGTCTATAATAATTGGAGAACCCAAGAAAACGCTGAATAGCTTTCAGACCTTGCGGTAGAGGCCATTCTATTACAGCAGCTAGCTTCTGGGGATCCATACGAAAACCTTTAGCGGAAATCAAATACCCCAAGAACTGGACTTCGGTTTGGTCAAACAGACATTTTTCTAGCTTGCAATAAAGACCATTAGCAAGAAGGGTCTTCAAAACTGTCGTAACATGTCTGTGATGAGTGTGTATATCTGCAGAATATATTAAAATGTCGTCCAAGTATACGATAACAAATGTGTGAATAAAATCTCTCAATACATCATTAATATATTCTTGGAATACTGCTGGGGCATTGCAAAGCCCAAATGGCATAACAGTGTATTCGTAATGACCGGATCTAGTGTTGAATGCAGTCTTCCATTCGTGATTTTCCTTTATACGTATCAAATTGTATGCATTCCTAAGGTCTAATTTAGTGAACACAGTGGCATGTTTCAGCCTGTCAAATAATTCTGTAATCAAAGGTATAGGGTATGCATTTTTGATAGTGATTTTGTTTAGACCTCTATAATCTATACACGGTCTTAAATCACCTTCTTTCTTTGATACAAAGAAGAACCCTGCTCCAGCTGGAGAAGAGGATCTCCTAATAAACCCTTTTTCTAATGATTCCTTGATGTACTCCTCCATGACACGGTTTTCTTGAACCGATAAGGGGTACACCCTACCCTTTGGAGGTATAGTGCCAGGCAACAAGTTAATAGCGCAATCATAGGGTCTGTGAGGCGGTAATTTCTCAGCCTCCCTTTTATCGAAAACAGTCTTTAGAGATAAATACTGAGGGGGTATAACCATAGACAAAGGAGGACTGGTAGGTACCTCAATAGAATTCAAAGGTGTGACTTCCAACGTACAAGACTCGTGGCAGGCCTTACTCCATGATTTTATTTGCCCTGTCTCCCAGTCAAAAATGGGATTGTGAGCACGTAACCATGGATACCCTAATACTAACTGTGAAGAGGGAGAGGTGATAACCTGGAATCGAATGGTTTCGTAGTGTAAAACCCCTGTGTACATGTGTAGTGGTTCAGTCTCATGAGTAACAACTGGAGAACTTAATGGTCTACCATCTATGGCCTCAACGGCCAAGGGTATCTCCTTCTCTCTGATGGGAATGTTGTTTCTCTTTATAAAGCCAGAGTCTATAAAATTTTCAGCTGCCCCAGAGTCAACCAGAGCATATATG